TCGTGTTTCCACAGAAGAGCTAATGCTGGCGCACGGCTACCCCACCTGCACCACGTCATGCGCCTGGCTGGGCTACTCGGACGCCACACTGAAGCAGGTGGGCGCTTGAACCTGGTTTTCTAGACAGGCTTTCTGGAGAGACGTCATGTTTTCCTCTTAGCCTTTCTGAATCGTTAGGTATCCCAGGCCTCGCCCTGGAGGTCCTTGGACGTGAGCAAAAGGAAAGCCGTTTCCGTTGTAGACGCTGGGCCCGTGAGCTGGTGAGCCCCACCTCGGCCCTGGAGGGGGAAGCCGATTCCCGGGCAGAGGCAGCAGCATAACGTGGTGCAATGTGAGCCCTAACCGTGCTCTGCCTCAGTTTCCTCACTACGAAGTGGGGAAATAATAGCTGTCCGGGGTGGAGGGGGTTTGAGGATTCCGATGAATGCTGCCGTGGTGTGATGCTCGCAGCACATGGTGGCACCTGGTGGGTGGTCAGCGCCTGCCTGCTTTACTGCCCTTTCCCATCACCTTGTGCTCACCTGCCGCTGAGAGCGAGAGAGAGGGGAGACTATCTTCTGTTCATTACTCTTTTATCCACTCTTTCTGTGGATGCCACAGAACATCCTGGCTTTAAAAAGAGGGACAGAAATGCTCCATTCCCCAACCAGGAATGTTGTGACCATTAATGAAATGGTTCCCACAGAGATGAGGAAAGAAAGTCACCAAGCCGTCATGCTCTGTTGGCTAAGCTGTTTCTGCTCTGAATTTCAACACACAGTGGTTCTTCTGGTTCATGGTACAGCTGTAGCGTTTGTGAAGCCAAATCAGAGATGGCCCAGGTGCTGCTTAGACCTAGGAGTGTGTGTGTGGTGATGGCTCTGCTCCTCTCCCCACAGCTCTGCAGCGAGGCGCTGGAGGACGGCTGGACCAGGTAACTTATTTGGGTGAACTTGACTCTCCAGTTAGCGAGAGGCTGGTCGGTGGAGAGAAGCCAGGATCCAAAGGTACCAAGGAGGCCAGGATTCGCCCGGAGCAGTCTGGTGTGTAAGGACACACCAGGGAAATTTCAGCTGAAGCTCTTTCTCCAAAGACGAGCTATGAGTCTAGTTAGAATCCTGGAACATCAGAATTGAAAGAGATAATTGATTTCCAGCCCCGATCTAGAAATCTACTCTTTACTATAATAACAAGCGTTGATTCAGCGTCTACGTGAAAACCTCCAGAGGCAGTGAGCTTGTAAGGCGCTTGTGCGTTGTTGGAAGGCTCTGAGTGTTAGAAGAGCTTCAATGTAGCAGACCCTTTGCTTCCCTGTAACTTCCAGCCACTGGTCACAATAATTATCTTCAGAGTCCTTCTCCCAAGAGCCTGGTCCCCCTCTTCCCCAGGCCACCTCCTCTCCAGACTAAGCCTCTGCCTTCTCTTCTGTCCTTCTCCTGCCTGGTTATGGACTCCTGGGCATCCTGGGGTTTCCTTGGGGGTAAACTACGGTGGGCAGTGGCCCCGAATCCCGAAGCTGTGCAGGACACAGGGACCATCACCTTTTGATCTGGTCACTGAGCCCATCCGTGCAGCTCAAGGTGGACATTGTGCCTGTGAGCCGTCACCAGGCTCTCTGTGCGACAGTCTGGCCACCCGCCTCCTGTCCCTCCAGGTGTGGTCTGTGGAGCAGCAGCATTAGCGTGCCCTGCTGCTCACGGTAGATTTAGAAAACCATTTGTATAGGTTGCTTAGTAAGGATCAAAAACAAGATCTCCCATCAACTTTAAAAAACAAGTGCAGAATCTTGGGCCTCACCCCAGACCTGCCACATCAGAATCTGCATTCTAACAAGATCCCTGGGTGATCTGCCTACCCACTGAACTGTGAGAGGCACTGAGTTATGGTTGAATCCTCAGCTAAGTAAAGGGTTGGGGACTGAGAACTTGATGGAGGCAGCATGAAGCAGTGGAAAGAGGCTTGGGATGTGGTGGATTTGGAATCAACATCATGCCTTTTCCCTTCATCTCCTGCAGTGCCTGCCTGCTGTGTGACCATGGGCAAATTGTTCAACCTCTCTGAACCTCATTTTCTCTCTATAAAATGGGAATCATAATATCTCATGGTTCTCCTCAAGGTTGCTGTCTCTGAAAAGGACCAGCACAGCCGGGATTGGTAGCAGGTGCTCAGTAAGTGCTGGCACCTTCCCTCCCTCCATGTACCCAGGAAAGGCTGGAGCAGACACCCCTAGGAGTCAGAGAAGGCCGAGGAGAGATTCCTAGGCCCCTGAGCATGGGAAGCCCAGCATCCAGAAGCTAAGGCTTCCACCCAGGATAGAAAGGTCATCTTTAGTGTGTTTGGTGCTGAGCGCAGGGGAGAGAACGGCACAGGCTGTGAGAGGGGCTTTTTTGTCAGCACAGAGGGTGGGTGTTGTGGAGAGGACCTTGGGCCATCCTGGCTCCAAAGCGGCAGCCTGGCGTCCGTGTATAGGACAAAGAGGCTGGTGAGTGAGGGAGAGGATGCCAGCTCACCCGCCAAGTCTGACTAGGCCTTTTCCGTTCTTAACTCCTCTTCATGGCACAGCAAAAACTCAGTTAATGTTATTAAAGATCTAGCTGCTCTGTCCATTGCTGGACTTCAGGACAGCAGGTAATTTACAGTTACTGCCCCGATACTGAGTAAAAAGATACACTTACAGGGTTATTTTTGAGTGGCTTGTCTGAAGATTGATTGGGAAAGGGCAAGAGTTTACTAGAAAATGTGACCTGTGAATTATTGACAGAAACAGTCACTTCTGCAGAAAAGCCACGTGTCTTTGCCAAGTCAGGGGACAGATCTAAATTACGAGACCAAACTTATTTTATAGGTTTAAGGTAAAAGTTGGTGCTGATCTCCAGGATGACATCCGTAGATGCCGACTCATCAGAAACCTGATCGGCCCTGAGAAGACGCTGGTAAATAACCTCCCTCCCACTGAGAAGTAAGCAGCTGTAATGTGAGACGCATTGTCCAGGGCCAAAATACAACTTGTTTCAAGCAAGGATTAAAGAACATTGGGAATTTTAACACCGTATGTCAGAAGTACGGCTTTGAGCTCTTGGAGTAGGCGAATTGTTTAAAAAAACAAAAAACAAAAAAATGAGGGGGCTGATTGATTTTTATTCTGCAGAACTAATTCAGTAAGATCAGTTTTAGGGATTGTTCCTTTGTGCTAGGACAGATGCGCCTGAGCAAACAGGTCTCCCATTGGCACCCCCAGTATGTCAATCATTCAACCCCCCTTCTTAAATCCGCCAACCCGCCTCCAGGTAGGTGGGTCTCAGGGAGCCATTGCTCAAGAGATGCTGGAACTTTTGCCGAGATAAATGTTAAGGATCAGTCATTCCTACGTACTTTTATAAAACATTTCTTCCTATGTGTAAAATATTTTCATAAAATAGTCACAATGTTTTTATATCTTTTTGGAGGCATGTTTCATATATTAAAATAGAAGTTTGAGTCCTGGACCTAAGATCAAAAGTCCCATTATTTATACATGAATTAATGCTACTTTTGTCTTGCAAGGTCACGCATATCTAAATAATTTATGACAGGAATAGATTCTGGGCGCACTATCCTCTGGTTCCCACAGAGTCCCATCAAGGGACCTCTTACCACTCAGCACATTCTACTAAAGAATTCCATCTCTGTATCTGGCTTCTCCAAGTGTGATATCGGGGATGGAGGGGCCCTTTCTTGTCTCTGCACACCCAGCACCTGGCTTCCTGGCAGTCTCACTGCACACAGAGGGCCCAGGCCTTAGAGTGAGAGGCCTGGATTTGAACTCACCATTTACTTATCGTCCTTGAGCAAGTTACTTCTCTGCTTATGTTTTCTTGTCTGTAATATGGGTTGATGTGAACTGCCTCATAGAGTTATTATAAATATTAAATGGAACAAAATCGATTAAATGCCTAGCGGAGTAGATGCCTAATTAATGGTAGAGTTTGGGTTATTTATTATTGTGCCAAACATAGTAGGTAATAGCCAATAAGTGACTATTGAACAAACTCGGTATTAACTGCATGATTCAGAATGTGATAAAACAGTTCCTACAAATGATGAACCCTGCAAGACAAATGTATTTGGGTGGTTTCTAAATGTAGATCAGGCTGGAGCTCCAGGGCCAGCAAGCACTTCTGGACCTCACAGTGGCTCCCTGAGCGACTTGCATCTCCTCTGAGACAGTATCTGGAGCCAGAGTTCGTCTCGGTGGCTGCTCTTGGGCTCCCTTTGTTATGGGTGTGTGCTGGGCCCCAGCAGTCAGGGGTACCAAGTGACAGCATTTCCTCCCTGGGAGCCACAGCCTGCAGCAAGGTCAGCAGCGGGCACACCTCCCCATGAAGGGCCTCTCCCTCCTTTCAGATGATGGATGCCAACCAGCGCTGGGATGTGCCCGAGGCCGTGGAGTGGATGGCGAAGCTGGCGGAGTTCAAGCCTCTGTGGATTGAGGAGCCCACCTCCCCTGATGACATTCTGCGGCATGCCATTTCCAAGGTAAAAAACCTGCTGCTGCTGCTAGAGTGGTGATCACAGATGCTAAGATTCCTGGGCTTATTCCCTTTCACAGTTCTATTTATTTTAGAGAAAGTAAATTGCTACCAGTTGAAAGGCTACCAGCAATCCAAAGGTTAACAGACCTGATTCCCATACTTTGTAAATACAGAAATCTGACTGATACTCAAATATTTTACTCACCCAGATTAAAACAAAGTAGATTCCTCTGGCTGATTCACAAGCAAAGGTTTGCTTAGCTAATGTCAAGGTCAGGCCTCCCCATGAGAAGGCTGCCCATCCGTTTCCACAGAGCCCTTTAACCAGGGCACTTCCTGGGCAAACTCACCTGAATTCGGGCTGGCTTCTCTCCCTTCCATATGTAAGAATATGTGAGAAATATCCTGTCTCTCAGAGCGAGTCTCCCATTAGCCGGGTTCACAGCACAGATTTATAAGCCAGAGCGCCAGGTGGGTCACTCATAAGGAGAAAGTGTAACTTCTGGGAGCCCTATATTTTTGCATCCTCTGACAGAGCAAGCTCCATGAGCAGCCCTATTTAAACCAAAGGCTACCGGATGGGTGAGAAATCAGGGAGGAACTGGTTGTGGGATGGAACACGTGCTGGCGTCAGAGATGGCCCAGTGCACTTCCCCCACCCCGTCTACCACCTTCTGTGGCTCCTTAAACTTCACACGGCTGGACGGCAGGGCTGTTTCCTTCTTCAGCTCTAAATAGCTGAACAGCTCTAAATATTTTTAAACATTAGGAGTCTCAGTTCAAAAACTTAGGAAAATAACATCAGGTTGCCTTATATTTTACAGGCACTGATCCCCCTGGGAATTGGCATTGCCACCGGCGAACAGGTACGAGATGTCTCCTCAGGGTCAGCACACTGGCCACCGACTGGGGACACTGGCATACGCTAGGCTATATCACCTGTGTTGTTGTTCTGCGTTGGGAGATTTTCTTAATCTTAGACCACTTCACAGTCTGGAGTAAGATATATATAGTCGAGTTTGCATGTTCTACAATTCCTATGACTGAGGTCATTTATCTTTTTCAAAGTAGCTCATTGGAATTTACAAGGCAGCAATTTAAAGCTGCAGGGGCCTAATATGCACCATGTGGTTGTAAGAAAGCCAGCTTCCAAACTGGGTAAACATGATTGCGTTCCCTTTTTGTGCTTATAAACGAAGCACAAGCGCCTGCCAAAGCTCGCGGCAGGCGGCCCACGAGTAGAGCTGTGTGAGGGAACAGATTCTCGGCTTTCCCAGCAAAAGGAGCAGCGCCGTTCTGCCACGCTTCTGTTTTGTCGCCCGTGCCACCTGCTCATCGCCATCCCCTTATTTCATCCTGATGCTTCATCTCCCACTTAGAGGTGGCAGTTATGCACTGATAGGTGGCGAGTGGTGTGACTTTTATGTGACACACACGTGGTTCCACCAGCAAATCTGTAACAAAGTGATCAGAAGGTCCCCGCCTGGCCTGTCAGGGCTCACCTTATGCCAAATGAGAACAAAAAATGAATACAGTCCACGTTTCCAGGAGGCCACCGATGAGAGACTCGGAATGGGCGCAGTGCCAGGTATATAGATCCTGAAGGCCAAGGCTGACTCTTCTGTTGGTGTATTTTAATTCTATTTCCAGTGCCACAATAGAGTGATATTTAAGCAACTCCTACAGGCAGAAGCCCTGCAGTTTCTCCAGATCGACAGCTGCAGGCTGGGGAGTGTCAGCGAGAACCTCTCAGTGCTGCTGATGGCCAAAAAGTTTGACAGTAAGGGCACCGCGGGGTCACAGACCAAACACTATGGTTACCTCTGGAGTTTCCCATTTTGACTTTTTTCTAACTCTCAGTTAGGCTTAATCAGGGAATCTTTGATGATTTTCATTCCTAAATATTAATGATTTAATCACCTGCAGGCAACAAGCAAAGCCACAGGTTCTCCTTCACTTCTCCCTCGCTGCCCTACTTGGCACTCTGTGGAAATCTGTCCTCACTTTTAGTTCCTGTGTGCCTGCATGCTGGTGGAGTTGGCCTCTGTGAACTGGTGCAGCACCTGATTATATTTGACTTCATATCAGTCTCTGCAAGCCCCAAAGACAGGTCAGTGATGTGGCATTAACTTCAGTACCGTCTCTCAATCCAGGCCAGGCCACTGGCACATCCCATAATTCAAAGGCAGTTTGAGACCCACTACTGAATAGTCTTTTTTCTTATAGAGGGTGGTTTCCTGGTGGCTGACTTACTGTTTTCTAGGTACGTAAGGGGGGTGGGGAGAGTCTGCAACCAAATGGAAACCAGATAGCTCCTATTTCTGACTTTCTAAAGCCCCGCTTTCATATGTATACTCTCTGCTTCTGTCCAATTTCTTCCCAACACTGGAGTCTTCAGTATCTGTCTGCATCTTTTAGTTCCATCTTATTTCTCAACATGTGCCAGGTGAGCTTTAAATTAGGACAGTCTCCTTCCAGTCACCTGCAGACATACGACTTTATTATGCCTTTCTTTCCTCCAAGAATTAAATGCGATAGTGCAAAAAGATCACTAGGCGTATACAGTGAAAGCATGAGGACATGCACGGGAAAGGTGAACATCAAGTTCAGGATTGAGAAGTGGGACCTGTGAGGGTCTACGGGGACTTGAACTATAAAGTAATGGTTCTTTCTGCAGCTGGGTATTTAAACCTGAGATATTTTAAACTAGAAAAACGAACACTCCTAGGTTTTTCTGCTTTTGCCCCCTCATTTCAGTTCCTTAAAGCAGGACTAAGGGAGGGGCTCCAACCAACCCTGACAGGTCCTACAAAGTTTTGAGGAATGCAAAAGAGGGTCAGCTCTGACCCACTGGGCACTATGCCCGCCCATGAGTGGGTGAGAACCTCATGCCACCCCCATGAAAGCAGACCTCACTGCTTGGGAATGCCACCATGCAGGAGGGACAGCCACCAGACACAGCTGCCATGTGCTGTCACCTGCTTTGTAACCCTGTGTGTGGAGCACTGCTTCCCTATTCATTCTTCAAGGCCCACTGTCCTCTCCCAAGAGGCCGGTTCTTCATCTGTAGCCTGTTCTTTATAATTATGCACAGTACATATTATAGTCAACAACTTGGTCTCTACGGCCATTGAAACCACAAGGCCCTCTCTTACCAGTTCCTTTGTGTCCCCAGCACTGGACACACGGCCTGCTCATCTCAGCTGTTCATTAACCAATGGCTGAAGTAAGGCAGTAGAGTTAGGTCACTTACCCCAAGTCACAAAACTAGACAGTGGCTGACACCAAATTTGAACAGATTGGTCTGATCCTAAAACCTGTGCTCTTCTAAATCATTTGTGTAGCTGGAAGGAACCTCATTTGGTGACTTTAATCTGTTCACCTTTTGGCTAGAGGCACCCAAATAATCCCAGATACGTCTAAGTCTAAATTGATGCCTTTTGGTTCACAAACCCTTAAGTTAAAAGATACTTCACAGTTCATTTCATCCAAGCCCCCACACTGCTTTACCTTACAGAGAAGAACCTGAAGTCCAGAGGCTGAGGGACTTACTTAGAAATACATGGTATCAGCCAAGCCTCGGCAGAGTCCATCCTTTCTTAGTGGTGCTCAACCCTTTGCCTTAACAGCACCACATGAACTATCTACCTGAAGGCATTGTTACCCCAACCCAATTCCTTCCTCCCAGGATGTGTGAATACGTCGACCACCTGCACGAGCACTTCAAGTACCCTGTGATAATCAAGAAGAAATCCTACATGCCTCCTAAGGTGAGTTTGGCCAGAGAGCGCCCCCCCCCCCACCCCCTGAGGAGGCGCTGCCAGCCCTGCCCTACTCTTCTCAGGAGCTAGACCCCAGAGCACAAAGCTTTGTCTCCTTCAAGTCTGTTTTCAATATCTAGAAACATATAGCTCTTTAGTCAAATTCCCCAGGCCTGAAGGTCAGGATGCCCCTGACAAGGCTTCTCTCACGCCAGCCTTTCCTCACCAGCTGGACCTGAAAACATGCACTCCTTGGGCCCTTCCTGCCCAAAACAAAACAAAACTAAAAAAAAAAACCCCGGCACCATCTAGCAAGTTAGTGAAAGGGTTTGACTGCAGTTGTGTTATCTGCACCATTTATCCTTCTGTTCAAGAGATCGGGGCTCATTTTCACCAACAGAGGTTGAACTATCAAAGGAAGTGTGAATAGTTAACTAATCCTGAGAAGCAGCCAATAAAGTGCGTCCCTCTCTCTCCCCCATTTCAAACAACCTGCAAACTTATTTTTAAAACATTAATTCAGTTGCCTCTGGCTTATATTTAAAAGCATTTCTAGGAACAGCAGAAATAAGTAAAATAAATGACTTTTGTTCTAGGTGGTTATTAACATGATTCCATTTATTGTCTTTGATAGGATGCTGGTTATTCAACAGAAGTAAGGAGGAATCTGTAAAGAAACACCAGTATCCAGATGGTGAAGTTTGGGAGAAGCTCCTTGCTGCTCAAGGGAATTAGAGCTGAATGCTTAACAGCTTTTGCTTTAAGTGAAAAGGCTTAAAATTTCTTGGGTATGGTTTTACAGAAATAGAAAAAAAAATTCATCCTACCAATCAGAACAAGTTCGCTGAAAGTCATACTAACCTCAGGCATCAGCTTAGTCATATGTAATCTTTAAACAAAAGTAGATCCAACTGTCTCAAAGTCCAGGAAGATGTTAAAATTTCTATCACGTGCTGGTACCTAGACATTAAACTTTGAGAATAAGCAGCATGTTGGAATAATTCCTTAATCTTTTTAAAAACACACTTGTCATAAATTAGCATAATAAAACAGTTGTGCAGCACTATGGGGTATCTGATATGCAGCAAAGGTAAAAACATTTCACTGATCAGCCCTGAGGTGGTTTAGCATCTTTCTCTTGCTCAGTCTAAGCACGTTACTAGAGAATTCACACCATGCTGAAGCTAATGAGGGTAAAGGGTTATTTCATAAACTATTTTTATAACCCTTAAAGCCTTTATCCCAAATAATCATTGTATTTCAATGATAAAATGCAGCTAGAATTAGATGAATCATAGAAAAATAGGGTGAAATACAGCTTAGTCAGCATTTCTAAAATATACCTTACCCATCTAAGCAGCATCCAAAAGAGAACACAGCATAGGTATGTTTGTTTAGGAAGGTTCAGTTGTTTTAGGCAGGAACTGAGCAGATAAATGGCAACATGGAATTAAAAAACAGAACAAAACATGAATGCAGAACATTACAGCAAGATATAAAACAAAACAAATATAACTTTATATGTTCATAACCACACTAGGCATTATGACTGATGGTGTTATCCAGCTTGCTCCAATTTGGGCAATAGTTTAGTTATACATAATTCTTGAAATTCACTGACCATTTTCATAAAAACATATAAAGTTTGAATTAAGAGTATATAAATTTTCTCTTTCCTGTCTGTATTCACAATCTCTACATTTACATACATCCTCAGTGAGTTACCCTAAACTCCAGGTCTTTTATTACTAAGAGAACCAGCACAGTTCTATTTGCCAGTGGCAACATCCTTAAAAGTTAATGAATAATAACTGATAGATCACCAACAGGTTTTGACCTAGTTCCTTCTCCTTTAGAGCAAAATGAACTTTCACCTAGGTGTAAATATCCTTCAAACAACTCCTTCAAAAGCACTCTAAACAGCCATTTCCATTTTAATGGTCGGGTGAGGATTGTAGCCTTCAATCTGAAAGTCTTCAGCCTTGAAGTCATCAATTTTCTCAACTTTTCGAAGGATTTTGAGCTTGGGGAAAGGCCTTGGTTCTCGTTGAAGCTAAAAACAACATAAGGCCATTATTTTGCCAGATCCATACAACCTGCTTTAATTTTGCTCCCTGTGTCCCTTCATGAAACAAATAACAGTATTTTACCAATAAAGTATCAATATTATTTTGCAGGGGTGGAATACTACAGCTACCTTGTCCCTGGTTATTCAATGCTGCTGACCAATTCTCTCACCCACATGGAGAGTGAAGGGTGTTCAGTAGAATCACATGGTGTCAGGAGCCTTGGTGGCTCACCAGGTTTAAGTTCTTATAATCGACGCT